CACACACACACACACACACACACACACACACACACACACACACAAAGGGGGTCCGAAAGGGAGTCCGAAATCCCCCAACAGGTGAGTGCACTGGGGGGGCCCGGCCCCCAACTGGGTGCCCTGCCCGGCCAGGCCGCCGGGACCTCCCCCGGGTCACCCGGGCGGCCCGGATCCCCACTCAGGAAAACAGAGAATTAGTGACCCATAACTGTGATGCACAGACCAGAATTTGAATCCAGACTATATATTCTCGGCCCAAGCAGACAAACTGGAAGTCTAATGTGTACTTCTGCTCCATGAGGGGTCCTTGTTAATTTGTAGGGCCCTTCAGAAATGAGACTGGACGCAATTAGGGCATGCACACCCACACGCACACACTTGTGCTGACAGTGTTGGGGTATGGGGTGGCCCTAACTTTTTTCACTCTTGCAGTTTGATTTTCAGAAGCGAACGGCATGTTTGGCCACCCCAACCCCATTTTTTTTTTTATTATTATTTTCTTTTTTTGGTGATGCGTCGCATCACGTGCGCGCGTGTGCATGCACGTGCGCTGTGCGCCACATGTGCCGCGACCCCACGCACGGGATGCGCCGCAAGTATGGATTGAACTCACGATCCCTGCCATAACAGGCGGATGTCGTTGCCACACAACAGCTGTGTTGATGCCTGTACAATAGAAGTTAAATAGTTTTTATGTGTTGTAGAAAGAAAAAGATTGCAGTACTTATAGTACTCATCATACTTGCGGCGCATCGATGCGGTGCGCGATGCGCCGTGCGCCCCTCGGCTGTGCGCGCACTCATGCACGATGCGCGCGCATCGTTGCGCAGTGCGCCGGTGCGCTGGGGCATGTGCGTGCCGTGCGCATTTGCGCGCAGCGTGCGTGGATAATACAGTAAGAGTCCATGATATGTTAAATAATATCATAATGTAATATGATATTATTTCACCAGCGACCACCCGATGAAGGTGCTCGCTCCAACAGAAAGCGAATCCGCGATTACAGCCTGATGGAAGATCGACCGACGAACAAAAAAGGAGATGGAAGATGGACCGACAAGGGATGGTGGAAAGACGAGGGAGGGGGAAAGTGAAGAACGGAAACAAGCATGATGAGAAGGGGGAAGGGAGGGAGGGAATGGAGGAGGGAGGGAATGGACGAGGGGGGGAATGGATGAGGGAGGAGCACACCGATGACAAGGGAGGAGCACATGGCAAATGGGGAGGGTATTCGCTGCCAATCGGACTTCGAAATAAAAAAATGCAGAAAGAAGATGGAGGGTGGATGAAGTAGGAGAGACGAGGGAGGAGGGATGAAGCAGGAGAGACGAGGGAGGAAGGACTAAGGAACTGCATTGAAAAGAAATCCCGGTTGGATGGGGAGAGAGAGAGAGAGAGAGAGAGAGAGAGAGAGAGAGAGAGAGAGAGAGAGAGAGAGAGAGAACAGGTAAGTCTCCAACCTCGCGGCTGACCTCATGGTACTTCCATCAATAGCATGAGCAAAATCGAATGAATCTACTGCTGGAACAGGGAAATATACACTGCCAC